CGTGGTGCTGAGGGCGCGCGGCCCTGTGAGGCTGGGGCCGGACGGGCTTCTCCTGCACCTGCCTTGCCCAAGCCGGGGGGGGGCGGGATTAACGCGCCCTCCCCTCAGTGCTCGTGGACCCTCCGCCCGGCGCGGGGAGCCCGGGCTTTGTGTTCTCCACGCAGCAGCGCGGCGCTGCCGCCCTTGCCTGGCAGCAGCACGGGGCCGATCGGTGTAACGAGTAAAACCCCTCCCAGAGCCGCCTGCCCGCGCTAGGGGGCTGATCGCCCCGCAACCCAATGGATGCCGCTTGGTTAGTCCAAATCGGAACAGAATGAAAGCCTTAGTTCTACATTAAAGGTCACTGAAATGTCTCACTAAGCAATAGGCCCACGCCCTGCGGCTGCTAGTGTGTCTGATTATTTTGGATGCTCACTTAATCGTTCAGCCTTATTTCCATGCCCCCTTGTCATTTTCTTTATTTTTAGCCTGAAAGTTTCTCTTCCAAAACTATTTTCTGTAGGGCTGACAGAGAAATATCTTAGTAGACCTTTTCCTGGCATTACTACTAAAAAAAAAAAACTATCATTGGGTGAAGCGTACATAGTCACTATTGCATTACACTTTAATGCACAGTGTTCCCTCTAACTCTTTTTTCCATCCATGAACAGAATAAATTCTGTTGTTAGAATTGAGGCATGTGAGGATGCTGTACCACCAGAAGGAACACATGCTGTGGACACTTTAATTAGAGATGTAAAATCCTGTTTTATTAGTTAACCAGTTACATGTTAAATTTAACGTGGGTGGGTGGGGTTCTCTGACCAGCCTGGAGCAGGTAGGGCTGGAGCAGCTGACTGCCTGCAGGGGGCTGCTCCAGCCCCCATGCGTTAACATAATACATAAGCATTAAGTAACACAGTAAAGGTGATGCTTACTGGTTAACCATTCAAATCCCTACTGTTAATCAGATGGGTGGCATTTGAATCTCTTGAGTGGCTGCCCAAGTGCTCAGCTTCATTGTGCACAAAAATGCTACATAACATAGAAGCTTAAGCACAAAAGGAAGGACACAAGCCAGCTAAACTTATTAATTGTGCCTCAGTTTTGCAGCAAGGATCTGTTTTCGCCATAATTTATAGGTACATACCCACAAAATAATTCCTGGTATTTACAAAATCTTTTGTTTTTCACTGATATTTTTTAATTGAATTTGACTGCTCAAGTACACATACTGATTGTTAAGGAAATCCAGTATTGTTAAATTAGCTGTGTTTGTTGAATTAGTCTATTAAAATGTGTTTGCTCAATACGTGCTGAAAATTAACCTCCCCTTCTGCCTTTGCCCCCTCCTCTGTCCCCCCCCGCTGCTGCTTGCATGTAACTGAAATCCACAGAGGTAGTGGGGGAGAGAAGAGGGGGGCAAACAGGAGCCAGTGCTCGCAGGGAGCTGAGCACCAGCTCCTGGGGAGCCATCTGCTCCACCACCACCACACAGCTGCCTCTGGCATAGTGGAGTGGGGGGGAAAAGGCAGCATGTGTGGGGGAGCCAACTTAAGACACTGGCTCCTGCCTGCTCCCCAGCATGTACATGTGTAACTGCTGAAATTTACAGCAGTTACACATTGGCAGAATTAAACACAATTTAACATCCCTACTGCAAGAAGCAGGCAAGGGACTGCTCCAACCCCCACCAGTTAACCAGAACCAGTAAGGCTTATGGGCAGTGTTCCCTCTAAGCTGCAGTGGCAGCATAGTTTCACAGGTGATTAATCAATACTGTCCAATCTGTGTAGCTGTGCTGCCTTCCATCTTAGAGGGAACATTGCTTAAGTTGGCCTTTCGCATCCCTAGTTTCTCCTATATTGTTGGCATGGCCCAGGGCAGGAGGGTTAAAACTTGGCATGCCACTTTGAAAAGGTTGCCAACCCCTGACTTAGTATAATAATCTGCAACCACTTGGATTGTCAGTCTCTTGACAGTGTGTCAGACTTAAATCTAAACTATCCTAAGTATATTCTTTACTAGTAAATTTTCAGTAGTGAAACTTGTATTCTCAACTAGAAACTGGTTCTGAAGAAAAATGTAAGTAGAATTTAATAAATTTTCTGAATTTTTCTGTAGACTTCTTTTGTTGTTGATGAAGTGAGTAACATCATTAAAGAGGTAAGAAGTTAACAAACGTCTTCATTGTCATGTGAAAAATATAACCTTACATTCCCTACATCTATGTTGTGATGTTTTCTCTCAATAGTTTGTGTTCAAAATATATTTTCCAACCAATACATTGATTAGTATTAGAAATTATGTAGTTTATTATTGTTTTCCATTAAGACTGATACTAATTAATAGTAGTGTGTGTTTAAAAAACTGTTTAACAAGTATCATTATGAACTTAATTAGGGATATTTGAGTGTAAACAACTAAACATTCAACTGATAAATGCATGCATATTGGTTAACTGTGTTGGCTATACTCAGCGGAGCGGGGCTGGCAGGGGCTGGTGGCTCCACTCTTTGGAAGGCTTCACTGAGGTCGCTGCAGTATAAACCCATGCTGTGGGCTCTGCAGTATAAACTTTATACTGCAGAGCCCACAGCATGGGTAACTGCAACTGCTGAGATTTTCAGTGGTTGCACAGTTGCCCTATTACTTTAAGTAGGGATGTTAAAAATCATGTATTTGATAGACTGTATTCCTCTTCTAGTGTGGACCTGCCTTTCTTCATATCAATTCCCAGCTAATGGAAATTGTGACTGGTAAAACTTATGCAGAAGGGCTTAAGCTCCATTTAAAACTGTTAGCATTAAAGACTTTTGCATAGGCCTTCTGCATGAACATACATTTCACTTAAATGTGTCACCCTTCAGGATATTTTTTTGTCAAAGATAATATATGCCTGCATATTTGATTCAGACACCTTAATGTGTATTTTAGATAGATAAATACCCGGTATTTACAAGTTGCTAAGAAACTTACTTGGAGCTTGTTTACAAATCTTCAAGAATATTTGTGGCAACCACTACTCTTGTTACAGAAGTTCCATGAAATGGCAAATAAAAGGGATTATGACACAGTTTGATTACTGTGTACACAAAACAAAGTTGCAGATTAATGTAGTCTTGGTTAAGTGGAGTTACTATCAATAATGTGTGCCCATTTAATATCTCTCTTGAATGTGAGAGGTCCCTTTCATAGTGCATAGAACAAATGTACAGTATAAATAAATTCTATTTTATTTTTTATGGAAGCAAATGAAAGCTTCTGTAAAAAAAAAAAGTGCATGTTTGTTCTTCAGCCATCAAGTGTGCCTGCTCACTTTGAAAATGCATAACACTGGGCACAAGTATGAGAATTAGCACCCATACATAGTGGAATATTTTCATACCTGCTTTCTTAAATAACCTTCATGCACCTGGTCTCTTTTTACTACACTAGTAGCCATAAATAACAAAACATTCTTAAAAACAAATTCTTCTCAAGATTACTTGAAAGGTCAAGCGGAAACAGTTTAAATTCTGCTTCCAGACCCAGCTTTCTGCACAGAATCCTACAATAGTACGCAGTGGGGCTGACAGACTCTCAGACCTCTGGGCAAGAGGGATGGAGGCCCTCTTTGCACCCCCGGAAGGGGTGGATCTTTGGACAGAAGGGGCTAGCCTCTCCCAGAAAACTTTCAGTGCTACCTGGAGTGTCCCATGCAGGACTCCATCAATGATTTTAATAGCCTGTGGTTCTGGCCACTTCCACAGTATCAGTGGCCAGGAGCCCTAAGCCCTTTTGAATGGCTGGCAGCTACCCTCTTTGCTTTCCCTCCTCCCCCATCAGTGAGCCTGGCAGTACCAAACATACATTTTAATAACTAGGCTGTGAATCAAAATGTTTTCAGCTCTGTTGCAAATGCAAGGCATCTTTGATGTGGCACTTGAGGGTCTACAGTAGGGGTTTGAGATAAGCTGGAATCAAAATCAAAGGCTAAAGTAAGACAGCTGACATAACCATGCTATGAAAGAACAATCACTTGGAATGCTTTCTTATTAATGGTGGTAAAAATATTTCTAATACATAACAGGGCAATAGACTCTAGCATCTGCAATGCTAGTGAAATTTAAGGTTCTCCATCCAATGCATCAAAAACATGAAGTTCTAAGATGGGTCATGGTAACAGCTACCTTTGTATACTTGTCATTTTTAGGCCGTAGAAGGTGCGATAGGTGGCAATGCCTATCAACACAGCAAAGTGAACCAATGGACTACAAGTGTGGTAGAACAAACTTTAAGTCAACTAACAAAGCTGGGGAAACCTTTCAAGTATATTGGTAAGTTTGGTGCTATGTTGGTTTTATTGACTATCCCAGAAGACTTAAATTTAAACAGTCTATTCTTGAAATTTATTTAAAGATGAATGGCAAAGCTTTTCATAGAAACTTGTTGTGTCTCCTAAAGTAGTAACCATACAATGAGCAGTCCTGTGGCACCTTAAAGACAAATTTATTAAGTATTGAGCTTTTGTGGGTAAAACCTACTTCATCAGATGAGCTGGAGTGGAAATTACAGAATCCGTACACTATATTTCAGTTTTAAACTATGAATTTATAGTCACACTATAAAATCAGCTTTATTTTGTTACAAAGTATCTAGTGTTAGTCCATGGAAGATTAAACAATCTGGCACGGGTATCTTGCATGCTGGTTTTTTTTGTTGTTGCCCTTTTCTCACCAAGAGTTACGCATATTGGTCCCCCTTCACGAGGAGATTGGGGGAGTCAGACGTGAAGATTAAGTGACTTGCCCAGCAGAGTTTCTCCCATTCATGTGCACTATAGATCACTAAATCTTCAGGGAAAGCTTGTGACAGGCCAGGTCTGGGCACGGCTGAAGGTATCCGCTCAGGCTGAATTGCTCAAATTCAGGGCTCCTTCGGGCCCCTGACTGGAGGCCCTTCCCAAATGGGCCACAAACCAGTCACACCAAGCACTTCAGCTGCCAACCTGGCCAGCAGGAAGCCTCAGACACCCCAGCTCTCCCTGTGCCACAGTCAGCCCCGGGGCCTAACACACAGGTGAGGGGTTATAGAACCCAATCTCACCTACCCTGAACAAGTTCTTCCAGTCCCAAGAAACCAGCCACAGTTCCCCGGTCAATTTAACTTTGAATCTTACCCACAAGAGCAGGCTGGGCCAGTCCTTTAGAATCTAAAATCTAAAGGTTTATTAATATAATAAAAGAAAGAAAAGCATGACAGTAAGGTTGTTAAGGAGAATACATTACATGCATCAATCACCAAGTTCTGGATGCAGGCTCTCAGCAGAGATGTTATAAACGGCTATCTTAAAAGTCTCTGGTGTACATCCTATGTCAGGATGGGTCCACGACTTTTCCCAGCTTTCGGTCTCTTGCAAGGTTGCATCTGGGATCAGGAGCAGAATTGAAGACAAGATGGAGTCCGCCTCATGGCCTTGTATCTCTCTCCTGGCCAGAGCATGTCACATGGTCAAGTAATCTATCTGTTTCACATGCTGGCAGCCATTATGCCCTGGCTGGTTTGCAGGTATCCAGATTTCCAGACGCATTCCTCAGTTGTGTATTGGACACCTTGAGAGCCATTGTCCCTGGAGCCTTGCTAATTAGCAGGGCTTGACAAATCGCTGAATCTACGCCCCTGTGGTGAGTAGATTTCAGCTGGTTGTGCCATGAGCCCCATTCACCGGTGCTTTGTGCATGCGCAGTATGGGGCTGGCGAGTGACTCTCACTGAGGTTTGTCTAGCCCTGCTAATTAGTATAGTCAAACTGAACAATTGTTCTTTACAACAGGCAGTCCAGCACAGAGTCCATATTCATAACTCCACATACAGACATCATACAAGGACATGAATAGCGTATACAGAATCAGTAGAACATAAGCTTTTATTTGCTACCTCACATGGCCCTCTTTGTACAGACTTAGGGACAACATCCCCCCTTGGGTGCATCAGTGACCTGTCTGATTCCATTGATCCAGTAACGTGACAAAACTGTTCTAAAACACTAAAGCATGTGTCAAAACACTGATATGCCACAGACTTTTTCAGACCACAAAACTATACCTCCATTATCTGCCCATTGTTCAGCATCTTAAAGCTGAACTAATGTGGGTCAACTAGAATTGGTCATGCTCTCCTTTCCAGTATCAAAAAATAAGACATTCTCTCAGTTTATACAATTTCTATGGGATGTCAACTTCTAATTTGATACTTCACACACACACAACAGTAAAAATAAGTAAATGACAAAACTTGGCAACACTAAAAAAAAAAGTAAAATAGCAAGTAGTTGGTGGCTGTGATGGTTATTGTAAATGAGTGTTTCTAAGAGTGCAACACAGCACCTTCTCAGCCCTCCTGGTTTCACATTATAATTTGTTTCACGAACTTAAACTCAGAGGCTCATAAATGCAGGTGTTAAGTAAATGGAGTGCATAAGCATGTGGTTGAGTTTGCAGACAGATCCTTGCTTCAGATAACTTGCAAATAGTCTTCCTTCTGCAGAAGAGCTACAGCAAGGCTTTCTACACTAGCGGGTTATTGCGCAAGAACAACTGTTCTTGTGCAAGAATCCGTGGAGTGTCTACACCACCCACCCTCTTGCGCAAGGAAATTTACAGTATGGCGTGGTAAAAGAGAGCTTCTTGCACAAAAGCTAGGCTCTTTTTTAACAGGTGTAAGCCCTCTTGCGCAGGAGCGCAGTGTGGACTCTTGGCGGGGATTTCTTGCACAAGAAAGCCCTATGGCTAAAATGGCCATCAGAGCTTTCTTGCGCAAGAGTGCCCACACTGCCATGGATGTTCTTGCACAAAAGCACAGCTGGCACATGGAAGTGGGGACGTTTTCTTGTGCAAGACGTTCTTGCGCAAGAAGCCGTCAGTGTAGACATAGCCCAAGTGTTTGCTAGTTTCTACTCAGGAGTCAATGGGAGTACTAAGACTCAGAACTATGCTAGATAGCAAAGATCTGGCCTTAATAGTTTAATACTGCTTCCCAAACAAATTCTGAGACCTACTGGAAATCACTTATCTGAACATGTCATGGCCACCAGGACTGGGGCACTACAGGTTTAAAAGGTACAAGAGTGATATGCAAAGCAAAAAAGATAATAGATGTTCTCAGACAAAACTACGTTGACAGTTTGAGCAGCTGGTGGAGGTTAGGGATGTTAAATAGCAGTTGATTGAATAGTTGTGTAACCACACAAACTATTGGTTATACAACTATTTGATATTCCTGGGGGCAGGGCTAGCAGCCAGTGTGCTTCCTGGCCCACTCCTGGGAGCCCCCTGCTATCCTGTGCTGCTGCCTCTGTATCAGAGGCAACAGTGTGGGGTGGCAGCAGCCTCTGTCTGCAGGGAGCCCAAGCTCCCAATAGACAGAAGCTGTGTCAGCATTCCACTGAGCAGCCTCTGTCCACAGTGAGCTTGGGCCTGCTACAGACAGAGGCTCCTCTGCAGCAGCCTCTCCTTCCTTCCCCCTCCTTCTCCCATTGTAGTGCAGGTGGCTCTGTGGAGCTAGCATGAGAGGAGAACCAGCTTAAAACAAGCTCTCCCTAGTGCTTCCCCCCCACTCCTGCCTCTGATAGAGAGGCAGTAGTGTGAGGGGGCAGGTGATTTAGGTGAGTCAATGCATGCAGGGAGCTGACTTGAAAGCCAGCTTCCCATGTGTGCCAGCTCCTGCCTGCCCTCCTCTCCCTCTGTGCTGTTGCTTCTCCATCAGAGGCAGCAGTGCTGGGTGGGTGGCAGTTGGCTCCATGGATCCAGTGCTTGTGAAGAGCAGGGTTAAAGTCAACTTCCCCAGCTCTTGCTCCCCCACCCCATTTCTGCCTCTTATATAGAGGCAACAGAGGAGTGGAGGGTAGTGCATGTAGTTGATTGGTTAATCGTGTACTTGACTACACATTGACATCCCTCATGGAGGCAACACTAATTTTAGGAACTAGATTAAACTATGTACCAGTTAAGCAATTCTGAAATGGCATCCACTGTGAAAGCTAGGCATAAATAATGCAGTCACTTTTTGTAATTTTAAAGAAATAGTTGTCATTTTCCCAAAACTAATTAAGTCACATTTATCTGGATTCTTTAAAAAAATATATATTCTCCAGCTAGAACTACATATCTATGGGGATCCCTTTTTGGAAAAACTGGTAGATTGTGTATATAAAGCACATCTCAGTCCTGTTTCTACAGGTTGGACTTCCCTGTTCTGGCACCCTTCTGGACAAGGGAGTTTGCCAAACTATAGGAGCTCTCAGTAGCCCCCCTGGCTGTGGACTCTACTGCCCTGCCAGAGTTCTCTAGTCCAGCAACATCCATGGCCCACTTGTGGGGTTAGAGCAGCCCTCCATGCTCCTGGGTAATGGTTAATTGTTACCCAGTATGCATCACCTGTTAGGGGTGAAGGTTACTAGTTCACATACATACCAGCAAGTACTGTACAAACAGGAGAGAGGTTTTCCATGCCCCAAAGATCTTAGTCTGTCCTGATCGTTTTTGGGTTGTGTGTAGGTTATGGCCAGAGCTGATTTATTTGGGACACCTTTGAAGTCTGTTAGGACAATTTAAAAGTGCTTGTGGTTTTTTTAGTGCTTTTGTACTTGTTCTGTTGTACTGCTTAAAGTAAGGGGACATCATCTTTTTGCTAAGATATTTTACGCTAAATTGCATTTTTGTGGTCAATATTGCATGTAGTGAATTTGAATTCATAGATTTGAGGGACTGATATTAAACTACCATTTGTGCTGTTAAAACTAAGCATCAGTGTAAGTTGTATTGATAGTAATTGTCAGTTTGGTTCCCTAATGGAAGCTTCTTTTGTGTGTTAACAGTGACCTGTGTGATTATGCAAAAAAATGGTGCTGGACTTCACACAGCAAGCTCTTGTTTCTGGGACAACACTAGTGATGGTACAGAAGTGACTTTATTTTCTCTCTTAAACAGCAACTTTAAGTATTCTCATACTAGAACTTTTAAAGGGTTGGTTGCCTTACCTCATAAGACTGACACTTAATCTTTAAATTACTATTTTGGAGCAGCCTAGTGCAACTGAAGTGCCTTTAGGGATAAGGCAGGGGAGGAGACTAAAGTCTCCCAAGTTATGAAGCTAGCAACTACAGGCAGTCCCCGGGTTACGTACAAGATAGGGACTGTAGGTTTGTTCTTTCTTAAGTTGAATTTGTATGTAAGTCGGAACTGGTACATATTGTAGGGGAAACTCTAGCCAAACATTTCTCCAGAGCTCAGTTTTATTCTCCCACACTTCACTTCCCTCAGTCCTTTATTCTCAAGCTGAGGTGTCTGCTGAGAAAAGCCGCTCCACGTCTCCCTGGTCTGCTGGGGTGTGGGGGGGGAGCGCTAGCTTCACATCTCCCTGGTCTGCTGGGGGGGGAAGCAGCTAGTGCGGGTTGCCTCACCCCGTTTGTAAGTAGGGATCTGATGTAACCCGGGGACTGCCTGTATTTTTTTTAAAAAATGCATATATTGACAGCTTTGCTGATTCTTTATAAAAAAAATTGAAAGTTTGAACTTTAATATAGATGAGTCTGATGATATGGAGAACCATGTAGAACTTTGTGTATGAAATGACAAACTTCTTGGTTTTTCATACTTTCTCTTCTGTTGCAGGAAATTGCACTGTGAGATGGGAGAATAAGACTATGTATTGTATTGTCAGTGCCTTTGGACTTGCAATATAATTGCCTTGGAACTACTAAGCTGTCTACTGATTTTTATTCTTCAGCACTTCCATTTCATAATCTATTCAAATTGAATACACTTGTTTTTAATGTACATTTGTCACTTCCAATGTAGAAATGTGAAAACACTAATTATATGCTGTTACGAGGATTATACATGCAATCTTTCACACCAGTATTGCCAGACTGTCTTAATATTTCAAGGACTTCAAGGTGCTAATAAAACCTCTCCCCTGAAACCTGCTGCAATGTAAAGGTTTCTTTAGCTTTACTCTCTGAAACTAATTTAAATAAATTTTCACACTTTGTACTTTGGGTTAGCATTAAATTATTGAAGTTCATAATATTGTGTGTCTTGTCTATTACATTCAACTGCGTGGAGCACTGGGGAAACTAGCTAAGGGTTCCAAGGTGTCTGTCATAGTCTGTGTAGATAATCTGACTAAGCTGGAGAGTACACAAAATTGTAAAAGTCTTATTTGAGACTACTTTTAAAATGCTACCATAGTAGTAAAGACTAATGACCAAAGGTTTCCTAAAGATTCACTCATCCTACTTTGCTACATAAAACAGTGGATCAAAAATGCATTCCTTTGGTATGGCAATTCAGTAATTGTGACCCTCTTCTGCACAGTCTGTTAAACAGGAGCGGTCAAAATGATGATCTGAGAGATGAGGCCTAGCAGACATCTAAAACTTGGATTAAATTGAAGTGTTGTTAGTTAACAATAAAATGGAGTCATAAAAGTATTTGGAAAAGTAGGATTTTCAGCTGAAGCAAATTCAGATAACTTGAATTAGTGGTGCTCTGGTTCTCTCTGCAAGTCATTTGAGAGAGGTTTTCAAAAATCTGAAAATAAAAGGGAATGCTCCTTCCCTTTTCTGTTTTTATGGCCTTTGGGGCCTCTACTGTGCAAAGGTAGTTAACAGTGCATTTTTAACAGTACCAGAAGGCACTTCTGCAATGCTATTTATACACTATAGCTTGTGCAATAGTTGGATAGATCTAAAATAAAACACATTGAAATAATTGCCAGTAGGTTCTGGGTTTGACAATAGGATGGACAAAGGCTTGTCAGGCTACTGCTCAGTATGTATCTGTACCTATGCAAAGGACCCCCCCCCCCATAACCTGGTTAACTTGTACCTTTGGTTATTCCCCTAACTGCACTAAAACAATAGTCTCCAATCCCAGGTGGCCAGAGTCCCTCCCTCTCTACATTTATATGCTAGCTATTAACAATAGAAGTATTTAAACTTTTCTATGAGGACAGTGTCAGTTCCACTATGTACATACACAAAGCTAATTACCACTTCCTCATTAGAGACAAGTGAAAAAGTGTGCTAGGTTTTCTTCACCTAGTGAAAGGAAAATGAAATCCAAATGCATGTATAAAGAGACAGTATGAAAACTATTTATTAACAATTAGCTGAACAGAAAATTTGACACACATGAAATCTTCCATGTATCTCAGCACCCAACTTTTTGCTGAAGGTAAACAGTTTTGTAGTCTATAACTGAAAGATTTCTAGTGTAAATGGATGATTAACAAGTTTCCCCAAAACACAGAATACTAATTCAGCCCATGCATACCTGCTCAAAGCAGCATCATATTTACAACTTCAGTAACAGAATATTTATCTTACACATTCAATACCATTTTGGTATACAATTTTCCATAGTTTTTTCATTTTACATTATTTACAAGCTTTTTATAAAGTTCAGTTTTATAATAGCATGAGGGTTTCTGTAATGTATGGCAATTACTGCCATATTCAAAACATGGCAAAAAGGGAACAAGCAGGTTTATAGTTCTTATTTACAAGAGCTGCCCTTAGGATCAAAGAAAGATATCAAATCAAGAATCCTTTCAAACAAACTTCTCAAAGTAGTTCATGCTCTGATTGCATTTTCATTCTTAACCAAAGTTAAGAAAGATTTCTCTTCTGGGTTAGGAAGAACCCTTTCTTGGCCTTAGAGTACAGAATATTAATTTCCTAGCATACTTAACTCTGATCATGTCTTAAAGCCAATGCAACAGCAAAAACGTGCATGATAGTTCAGGAGCCACTTTGGGCCAGCAATATTTGGCCACAAGATGGATTTTTGCAAGCAAAATATCCGTTGTGCGGAGATGGCTTTTCTCAGAGAGCTGTGAGGAGACTGGGGTACTGGAAAGAAAAGGTTACTCACCTTGTGCAGTAACTTCTGTTCTTCGAGATGTGTGTCCCCGTGGGTGCTCCACTACAGGTGTCGGGCTCGTCCCGGCGCCGCAAACCGGAAACTTCTTCATAGCAGTAGCCCCCTCCGGAGGGCCGCGCGTGCGCAGTGCGTCCCACGGCGTTCGCGCCTTTTCTGCGTCGCGCGGTCCGACCCGCCAGTTCCTCCTAGCCGGAACATCTGCAAGATACAAGAGAGATCTCCGAAGCAGGGAGGAGGGCGGGTCGTGGAGCACCCACGGGGACACACATCTCGAAGAACAGAAGTTACTGCACAAGGTGAGTAACCTTTTCTTCTTCTTCGAGTGATGTCCCCGTGGGTGCTCCACTACAGGTGAGTATGAAGCAGTCACCCTCGCACTGATTGTGCTTCGGAATTACTTGTGCACGGACGAAAGGACTGCTTGAGCCACTGCTGTGTCTGCCTCCTTGAGACGATCAAGGGCATAGTGTCTAGCGAAGGTGGATGCGGACGACCATGTCGCTGCCCTGCATATGTCTCTAAGTGATACATTTTTCATAAAGGCCGTGGAGGCAGCCATACTTCTGGTTGAATGCGCTGTTAGCGAACAGGGCAGAGATTTCCCCCTGAGAGTGTAGCAACGGGTGATGCAGTTAACTATATGTTTGGAAATACGTTGGGACGACAGCTGATGACCTTTAGAGCGATCAGCGAGTGATAATAGCAAACGCGGAGACTTCCGGAATGGACGTGTTCTGTCAAGGTAAAATGCCAATGCCCTTCTAATGTCCAGAGTGTGCCAGCGGGCTTCCTCCGGTGTAGCGTGTGGTTTGGGGTAGAAAGTAGGGAAGATTATAGGTTCATTGACATGAAAGGACGAGTTGACTTTTGGCAAGAAGGATGGGTGACATCTCAGTGAGACTCCCTGCTGAGTGAACATCGTGTA